CCGCGATTTGAGAAGAAGATATATATTAAACGGTCTGTGTGTGTGTGTGTGTCTGTGTGTGTGTTTGTGTGTTGTCCACGGTCTCGGGGCACTGGGTGTAGTTTGACTTGACAGGTACAAACGATAACAAGCGTCCTCCATGACAGCCATCAGGGATCAACATGGCATCCAATTTCTTCTGTCTCCGATTTCAGACAGCGAGCGAAAAACAGGGAGAGAGAGAGAGCAAGAGAGAGAGAGACAAAGAATTAGAACTTTATGTGAATTTTACCTTTCCAGGAGAGTTGTAATTTTTTTTTTTTTTAACCATCTGTAACATAAATCTCTTCCAAAGATTCTGCCGTCTCAGATGCTGCCGTGACACGGGTGTTAAAAACGTTTTACAAGTGTAAGTCAATGATTTAAAAATGTTTCACGGCCGGATGAACCCTCGTGTATATTTAACTGTCAAACAATACACTGCCTTTTATTCTGCTCTGATTTGTTGGATGTAATATTAATAAATCAAACCACCTCTTTAGAAACAGTTTTCTACAAAACGTTTTAAAGCTATAATTAAAAATAAAACAAATTATTCTAATGGTTAAGAAAATACCATCTGCATGACAGTTTATTATCATCTATATTTACTGTAGCTGTACATGAAAAGCCCTCCATTACTGACCATCCCTGGAGGGAAAACTGGACCGATTTGTCATTTTCCCAGAAAAAACGTTTTAGAAATTATTTTCTGCGATCAATATAATGGCAGTCGTTGCACGACAATAGTCCTGTCCACAGGGGGTGCTGTAGAAAAATGGCTGGAAACCATTGGTGTGAATTAATTTGCAATAAATGACATGCCCTGTATTGAGTACTTTAGATCTCAGTTGTTACGCCTGTGTCACAACAATGCTCAGAAACACAGCACGAAACCTTTCTCTGCTCCAAACCATCCCCGTCACAGGTGGGTTTTGTCACCACGCTGCTCACAAACAGACCAGCAGCAGCATCAACACACTGACAGCACAGCTCCTGACATTACAGAAAAGACAGAATTCCCTGAAATATCTCCAATCCACCCTGACGTTACAACACTAATGGAAGCAAACACACTGTGTGTGAACGTGTTTTCAATCGTCTAATTATTGGGCTGCAGCAGCTTCATCTTGCTCTCTCTCTCTCTCTCTCTCTCCCTCTCTCTCTACCACCGGCAGACATAGTGCATACAGTAATGAATCATCGCCCAAAGTGTTCCAAAACAAAGTTATGAAAAATAACACTACATGTTTGGTCCAATACATCAACAGTGTGAACTAATCAACAGCTAACACTGAAGACGGGCCGAGAAGGTTTGCTTTGGTGAAACATTTCTCTCAACTTATGTTTGGACACTTGCCAAGCTGCAGGAGGTTTGTGAGACGAGGCGCATCAGAGAGGCAGCACTTAAGAAAGTATTGTGGCATCACAGCCAGAAGGTGAGGTGCTGAGTCTGACTAATGAGCAGAAATTATTATACTATAAAAAAGAAAACTTTTATTACAAGATAAAAAACATTCTGGTTCCCTCCTCTACATACAGACTGTAGATGTGGAAGTCTATAATCCCAAAACTATGGGTTTATGGGTAGATGTGGTTGTATGTGATCCAAGTATATATATATATATAGCTTTAGTGGTTGTATGTGATCCAAGTATATATATATATATATGTACTGTATATTTAAATATATACATACATATGTATACTGTATGTTCCGGACTATAAGTCACTCTGAAGTATAATTCGTACCAGCCAAAGGATGACAAAAAGTGCAACTTACGGGAGTTACAGATACTGGTACACAGGCCTAGAGTGCCCTCTAGCGGCTGTCAGTGTGAAAATAACAAACGTGAAATTATATATTTTAATATATAGGTCATGAGTATAAATCACAAACCCAGCTAAAGGATGAAAAAAAGTGCGACTTATAGTCCGGAAAAAAAGGTGTGTGTGTGTGTAAATAAATATATACATAAATACATACTTAAGAATATACACAGATATTTATGTAGATATATATCTGTGTATCTACATTTATATTTATATATACAGTATATGCATTATATATGTCATAATTCTGCACCCATTAACAGTAACTGCTACACATGGATACTGAGGTTTATTCTAAAAAGTGTAAGCAGTAATTTTTTTTCAGATCACGTCACAAAATGACAGATTCACAGTCACAAAATGAACTTTGACCTTCTATCGATTGCCCCAGAAACAGCAATAAGAGCCGTGGAGATGGCGGTGGTGGGGTTCTAGTCATGGAGTGGCTCAGGAGACGGACGAGCTGCAGCACGCAATTACTTGAAATCCAGCGTGATTACTGTGAAATCCAAGTCGGTAGCCAACTGTGACAAAGTCATTTAAGGTGTAAGTGTATCCTAGTTGTATTGTATCCTCTGCTGCGTTCTAATGAAGACCAAGGCAGAGACGTGTGTTTCCACAAACGTGTAAAAAGTAGCAACTTTTCCACTGCAGTTACACACTGTACACCCGAGGTTTCTGGATTTATTTTATTTTGGGGGAATTTCAACAAATATCCTCACAAATTACATTTCAAATTGATCAACCTAACGCCAAGTAACTATAATGAATCAAAATCAATAACATCAAACAACACAACGTTCGCTTGAACCTTAAAAAAAAATTTAAAAAGTCATGTCTCCATCTCCCCCAGGTGGGGCCCGCCCCACACTTTGAGCAGTGACGTCAGTCTCTACAGCTGGGCTGCTTATGGACTCTCTCTTTAAAAAGGATTATCAACTAAAAAGGTTCAATCATTCATACCCTGACATTGTGCTCCTTTTTCCTGAGTCAACAGTCGAGTCAGCATTTTATTGATGTATCCGCTGCTAAAGATGTCCGAGCAGCAACGGCTTCGTCGTATAGTCAAATGTTTGCAACAAAAACGTTTTGCCACATCCACAGATATAGACTCCGTCTATTCAGTTGCTTTGTCAGTGTCTGCGTGATGTGAGGACGGTGACGGGCCGTCTGAGCTGGTTGTCTTTCCCCTCGGTGTGTGACGTGTGCTGCTGTGGCGTGTCCTTCTGAGTTCTGATGTAATTTAATGGAACTGATCTGAATCTGTTATGATTGGTCAGGGTGACTTTTCCCAGAGGCTGATGTGGGAGATATGACGTTGGAGTTAGAAGAAAACGTTGACATAAATGGAGATATATATATATTAATCTGAGCTATACATAGCTCAGATTAATATATTTATAGTTTAATACACGGAATACAAACCTGATAGTTAGAATTCAGCCATCAGCTTTTTATACAAATCTGATGGGTGAATTCTATCGATCAGATTTCTATACCCATACCAATTTGTTTTTTTAAATTTGAATTTAAAACACACGCTGTCATGAGTGAAACTGCATTCTAGCAGTTTATATACACACTCTTTGCTATTCTTGTGGTTTTTCTTTTGTGAGCATGTGCAGTACACATAGCCAACAAATCTGATGGAACACTGGTCAGACTGTGGTCAGACTGTGGTCAGACTCTGAGAGTCAAGTCCATCTGATTCTGTTGGTGCTGGAGATTTCAAACCCCCCAGATTAAGAGATCGGAGATTAAGTAAGGTACACACACTAAACCTACTGCTGTCCATGTGAGTTCCAGTCTGTCTGTAGAAACAGGCTGTGGCTCAGTGATGGCCTGTGGCCCTGCGATGGACTGGACCAGCATGTCCAGTTTAATTTTCAGCTCCTCTGGAACTCTGCTAGATGAAGCAAAAAGAGATTAGGTCTTAAATACAATGTGAAAACTATAGGTCTGGACCTTTTTATTTTAGATCCAGTATCCAGGGGATAAAAAAAACACACGTGAAAAACACAGACAAAATGTCACACGGAGACAATGAAGCTCTTTTGTACAT